CCTGTCTGTGCCTTGCCAGGTTGAGCTTGCCTTCTAGAATAGCCCTACACACCTCTGCCCATTTAAATATACTGAAGAGAGAAAAGGGGGTCCTACCACTTTTCAAGTCTACTTCACATTCCAAAGTCTTTCCTAAGTAGGCCCCATGCCTGTATATGCAAGTGTAAATCTCTTCAGCCATAACAGCATCTGCCTCATGTTCTCAGCTTGGTTCTACCATAGGCTTTGTGTTGTCATATCTTAGGGCCCTCTTGTTTAGGAACAAGACCAAAAACTACCGTGATGCCAGAATCAGAACCCTGAAACTCACTCTTGCCTCGCTATATTCAGGTTCATCCTAACCTTCCTCCAAAACATTTCTGAGTTCACGCTTGATGAGGAAAGTCATTCTGCAAGCTATGATTATGTGTTTCTCTTATTGATTGATGAATAAAGCTGTTTTGGCCAATGGATAGGCAGAATTTAGCAATCCAAACAAAGATGGAAAAAGAAGGAAGACAGGGTTGAGGAGATACCATGTAGCCTGTGGGGAAGCTGGCTGCCAGGAAATCACCTAGGTAAGTCACAGCCACATGGTGATAAACAGATTAATAGAAATGAGTTAATTTATAAGAGAAGAGCAAGCCAATAAAAAGCCTAAGTCATTGGCCAAACAATTGTAACTAATATTAAGCCTCAGAGTGGTTATTTCATAGTGGCTGTGGGGACCCAGTGGGTGAAGAAAAACAGATCCAGTAGGACCCAGACTAGATGGGTCTATATATGCCCATCATTCCTGTACCCCTCAGAACACCTACCCCATTAGACCCATCTTACCTAACCTAGCTACACACTGCAGCCATCACCTTCCCAGGATGTAGATCTGAATACTCTCTTGTTCACCCAGAGAGCCCAGGCCCATATTCCCTTGGCTCGGCTTCTGTCACATGTCCAGGCCCACTGCTTACCACTCTACTACTATCCAAACCATACTGTCAAAGTATCCTACCAGCCAAGGGATTTTAATGATGTTTACCTTTGGAAAGCTCTCTCCACACCTACCTAGTAAAGTCCCCAAATTCCAAGTGCTCATTCCCCTAAGAAGTCATTAAATGCCAAGTTAACAGCACTAGGTAAACCCAACTTTACCTTTACACCCAATGCACAGATCAAGGCCAATCACTTTCAGGAAAGTTTCAGTTTCACTACTAGCCTTTGCTGGCAGAGACCATTAGCAAATATACCAAGCACTGTCCTGGTCAACTCCGTTGGCATCCACCACTGACAGTACTTGATAATAGCAAAATGCACTGGGGATACTGATATCCCACAAGCCATTGCCCCTGACACACCAAGGTTAACTGGTAGGCACTGACTAGACAAAGATATGACTAAATCCCCAGTCATCACAACACAAGTCTCTTGACCTCCCTAGTCCTCCACTTCCTTGTGTGTAAAACACAGTTAACAATAAGTGGCTGTCAACCTAGATGCCCCTCAACTGAAGAATGGATAAAGAAGATGTGGCACATTTACACAATGGAATCCTACTCTGCAGAAAAAAAGAAAAAAAAAAACAATGGAATCTTGAAATTCACAGGCAAATGGATGGAATTTGAAGAAACCATCCTGAATGAAGTAACCCAGTCACAAAAAGAGGAACATGGTATGTACTCACTCATATATGGATTTTAGACATGGAGCAAAGGATCATTAGCCTATAATTCACACTGCCAGAGAAACTAGGATACAAGGAGGAATCTAAGAGGTTCATATAGATCCCTCACAGAAGGGGAAAGGAACAAGATCTTCTGAGCATATTGGGAGTAGGAAGGGGGCAGTGAGTAGAGAGGGATCTAGGAGAAAGAGAAGGCGAGGAGAGCAAAGCATGTGGGACTAGGAGGATTGAGTCAGGGGAGGAGGAATAGATGAGGGAACACACACACACAGACACAGAGAGAGAGACAGAGAGACAGAGAGACAGAGACAGAGAGAACATGAAAGAGGGAGCCATTATTGGTTTGAAGAGAAAACTGAACCTAAAGAAATGTCCAGAGACCTACAAGACTGAGTCCAACTAACAACTTGAGCAACAGTGGAAAGGCTACCATAAATGTGCTTCCCTGATAATGAGATTGATGACTAACTTATCCACCATCATAGAGCCCTCATCTAGTAGCTGATGGAAACAGAAGCAGACATCCACAGCTAAACACTGAGCTGCACTGGAATCCAGACGCAGATGGGGAGGACAAGACTAGGCTACAGAAACCCACAGAGACAGCTGACCTGAACAAGGAGGAGCTAACGGGCCCCCAGACTGATAGCTGGGAATCTAGCATTGGACTGACTCAGACCCCCTGAATATGGGTCTCAGTTAGAAGGCCTGGGCAGTCTAAGGGACCTCTGACAGTGGAACTAGGATGTATCCTTGGTGTATAAAAGGACTTTGGGAGCACATTCCCCATGGAGGGATACTCCCTTAACCTAGAGGCAGGAGGGAGGGCCTAGTCCCTACTCCAAATGACTTGACAGATTTTGTTGACCCCTCCTCTGGAAGGCACCACCCTCCCTGTGGTCTGGGGAGTGGGGGAATGGGATGGGAAGGTGGTATGGGGGCATGGGAGAGAGGGAGGGAGAGGGAACTGGGATCCATATGTAAAATAAGAAAAGAAAATCCAGTAAGTGGTTGTCTGACTTTTTTGTTTGTTTTGTTTTGTGACTAAATAGGAGAATGAATTTAGGCAAATGTTGGTGCTAGCGCCTGATACACAGGTGACTGATATTTGCTGAATGAATGAGTCTATGAATGAACAGCCCACAGCATGGTGATAGTCTGTGAAGAAACATCTTTTGAGCCTGCTTTCCAAAGGACTTCAGGTAGAATTACATTTGAGTCTAGTCTGTCCCTAGTGAAACCCTTAGACTGATTCAGCCATTCCCATGTGGCCATGAAGGATTGCTGTGTCATTTCACAGCTTTACCAGGGCCCAGGCACTTAAACTGATCCTCCCCAAGGGGAATCCAGCCATCTTACTAGCAATGTGACCCACCAGGTGGCCTCAAACACCCTGACCACAGCTAGGCCCTGCCCCTTACTCTATTAGCCAATGGGGCTGCAGAAGACTCCAGCTTGGCTACCTCAGTTGGTTTTCTGACTCTCTGGCAGCTCTGCCCATCCCTTCATATTTTACTATGTGGTACTGTGGAACTTGTAGTTACAAAGGAGGCCTCTCAGGCTCTGCTTGCTAACTAACTCGCTTGAGCTCTGTTTCTGAAGGTCTTGAGTTACCTACTAATGGCATGTTAAATTCCTGCCCCTACATAGCAATGCAGAGTAGGAAACCCAACTCTATCCGTTTGGTCACTGCAGACAGATATAGCCTTGAGTGAACTGAATATTAAAGTACATCTTAAAAGTTCCATTTCAATCAAAGTGACAATGAATTCTCAATCACCTAAGAGGCAACTCATGTCAATTCACAGGTAGTTTGGTAAATAAGTGTTGGATGGATCAAGTATTTCCTGTCTTGAATCAATCACATCACTGTACCTCAATGTCATTGATTCCCATGGTGTGCTTAGCTCTCCTTCCCTGTAACACCTTCATTCAACCTACATTCAACAAATATCACAGCCTGTGACAAAGGCCTGGAGCTCTGGAGCCTATAGGAACATATAGGGCCACCCCAGGCACTAAGACTCCACTGGTGAGTTAGTTATTTTACAGTTAGCATTAGGATTTCTTCTGAGTTATACATATTTTTTCTTTCCACACACAACTTGATATTGAAGGGTAGGGGAGATAGCTTTGCTTATATATACCAGGATGCTGCAGGCACACAGAAACATTTCCTAAATGGTTACTAAATCAAGACAACCCATTTCATGGCACATTCTCTAGCCTGTTAGAACTCTTCTTTGCACAAGATCTCCTGAGAAAATTGGGAGCACAATGGGGCAGGGAGAAAAAGTGAAAGGGAAGGGGGAAAGGAGAGGAAGAAGGGGAACATAAGGGAATTGGATGGTGGAGATGGGGGAAAGACAGAGGGACAGAGAGGAAGAGCAAGGAAAGAGATAACTTGATTGAAGGAGTCATGGGGTTATCGAGAAACCTGGTACTAAGGAAATCCCTGGGAATCTCCAAGGATGCCTGAACTGCCCTTCCCCTGTGACTGATAGATTGGTGACTACCTGAACTATCATCATAGAACTTTCATTCAGTAACTGATGGGCAGATGCAGAGATCTACAGATAAGCACTGTGGAACTCCAAGAATCCAGTGGAAGAGAGGGAGGAGCGATAATATGAGCAAAGGGGGCAAGACCAGGCTGCAGAAACCCACAGAAACAGCTGACCTCAGTTACTGGGAGCTTACTGACTCCAGACTGACAGCTGGGGAACCTGCATGGGACCGAACTGGGTCCTCTGAATATGGGTGACAGTGTATGGCTTGGGTAGTCTGTGGGGCCACTGGCAGTGGGACCAGGATTTATTCCTGGTGCTTTTTGGAGCCCATTCCCTATGGAGGGACACCTTGCTCAGCCTAGACACATGGGGAAGGGCCCAAGTCCTGCCTCAAAGAGATGTGACAGACTTTGTTGACTCCCTATGGGAAACCTTACCCTCGCTGAGGTATGGATGGAGTGGTGGTGGTGGAGGGAAGGTGGGGAAAGCGGGAGGTGGGAAGGGAGTGGGAACTGGGATTGGTATACAAAATTAGAAAAGATTGTTTCAAATTTTAAAAAATCATGTCTTAAAAAAGAACTCTTCTTTGCAACAACACAGGTGAGTGACGCTGCCTGTGAGCTGGTAAGTGCTCTGAGGTAGGAACTGGGCCACCCTGCTCATGCCTGACACAAGGCATGGCCTGTATACACACTCAATGAATATTGCCAAATATGTGAGCAGGACATCTATCTCAGAAGCAAAACGTCCTCCCAAGCCCCTTGCCCCTGCCCCGTGTGAAGAGATGGTGGCCAAGAATCCATAGCAAGACATGCCTTCTTTTACTTACTTACAGGTTGACCTGGGACTCTAGTTCAGGGTCTTTTGTTGGCCAAGTCTGAAGGGGCTGGATGCCGAAGGAGAGGGATGACTTCGCTTTCCAGAGGAGGGTTTGTGCCAGCTGACTCCCACAGGACCCCTTGGTCAGTGGATCCATTAGTGGGCCTGGAGGCTGAGCTGCTGCGCTGAAGCAGAAGGAGATGGGAAAGGTGCTGAGAACCAGATAAGCCTGCAGGTTCACCATAGCCCGATCTAGAATCTCCCCAAGGACGGCCTGTCTGCTCAGGAGCATCAGGAAGAACACTAAAGTACAGTAACCCAGGTGCCAAGCAAGGCTGTGTCATGACCTGTGCATAGTGTTGCTCAGGGGTCTGTATATGGAGGAACTGCTTGGGATCAATCCAAATCCCACATCTATCAACTAAGATCACATCACCCATACAGAAGTCAAAAGGATCTCCCTATGATTTGGATATGAGCAGAGTGTCCCTGAAAGGTAGATAGGTTGAAATTTAATTCCAATTTTGAGTATTAAGAAGGTGGAGACATTCTGTCTACAGCATGTAAAGGCAGAACCTTTGAGAAGAGGTTAGGTCACTGGCATTAGGCCCCCATAATGGATGCACACAGGCACACACACACACAGAGGCTCTCTCTCTCTCTCTCTCTCTCTCTCTCTCTCTCTCACACACACACACACACACACACACACACACAGAGGCACATATACAGACAGGCAGGTACACATGCACACACACACACATACACACACACACACACACCTTGCACAATCTCAAGAGTCTCCCAGAAAGAAAGCATCATGTAGACCCTCATACTTTAATTGAAACTTAGAGCTAAAAATAAACCACACTTACTTTATAAAGTTACTCAGCCAACTGTAAGTACTCTGTCCTGTTAAGGAATAATTCATATCTAAAGATCCAGTGGATATTCAAAAAACCACCAGTTCAGCAGGCATGGTGGTGCATGCCTTTAATCCCAGCACTGGGAATGAAGAGGCAGGTAGATCTCTGTGAGTTTGAGGCCAGCCTGGTCTACAAAGTGAGTTCTAGCACAGCTAGGGCAATGATACAGAAACCCTGTCTCAAAACAACAACAACAAAATATCAGCTCATTTATACAAAAGACAATATTGTCTGAGCAAGAAAAGCTATGTTTAGAGAGATTAGCAGTGGTGGAGTCTAATGCCATCACTATCGTTGTACAGCAGTACCATTGGTTCATATAATTTCTATCTATGAAGGATAGAGACATGGCTCAGCAGTTAAGAGAATTTGCTACTGTTATAGAGGACCTGGGTTATCTTCCCAGTACCCATATGGTGGCATACAACTATTTGTCACTCCAGTAGATCCAGTGCCCTCTTCCAACCTCTGTAGGAACCACGTACATAAATGTTGTATAGACAAATAGTCAGGTAAAACATTTGTATATAGAAAATAAATAAATCTAAAACAATTGTTTAAAGCTATGGAGAGCCATAAAAAGGGCTCAAGATTGACAACAAAACTAGAGATACAAAGAACCGAGTTCTCCACCTCAGGAGTAATAGCATCTAGCATGGAAACAGGACATGCCTGTTGAAGTGACAAATGGACTGTGCATAGGATCTGCACTGAGAAATGCACCCCTGAGATTTGCCTGCTCTCTCTCTTCTGGCACAGAGGGAGGTGAGACAGCCAGTTCTGAAAGGGAGGAGTACACTGCTCGGAAGGCAGCAGCAGTGTTCCCTCTGACTGCAATGATTTCAATTAGCAGCACCCTCGCTCACCTCGATCTCAAGTGAAAGACAGACAAGCCAACTGAATCCAATTATTGAGAAAGGGAAAAACAAGAAGTGAGAACATGTCATTCAGGTAACTTGAGTCCTTGTTCTAGGGCCACGGTCACTCATGGTTGGTTCAAAACATACCATTTTCTTAATCCCCAAAGTGGGGGGGGGAGAGGAAGGAAGGAAGGAAGGAAGGAAGGAAGAAGAAAGAAAGAAGAGCACTGGCCAAGAGGTGCTTTTTAAACTATCTTTTTCCTGGAAAGATTGTGACAACGTAGAGGGCAGAAGGGCCAGAGGTTCCGGCAGTGTCCTCTGTGGAGGGATCTCCACGGGAGCTATGTGCCTAGAGACCCAGGGAAGCACCTCCTCTGGGTCTCTCTGAGTTGTTCCAGAAGTGCTAAGCAGGTCCCAGACTGAGACATAATTAAAATAGAAGTCATCCTAGACCTATGCCTAATGAAGGAGTCCAAATCCACCTGTGCCCCACCTGTCCCTTTGACCCTTCTCTTGTTAAGACCCTCTGGCATTCCTTCTTTGTAAGAGATGATTCAGCTCTCCCCTCACTTTTTCTGGGTTGGCAAAGCCTCCTGTTGTACAACTGACCTGCAAGTCCACTAGCTTCCCCCATTTATCTTATAACAGCTAAGCAGACATCAAATGCTAAAGCCTTTCACCTGTGGCAGTTCTCCAGCGTGTGTGACTCTGTGCAGGCCAGAGTTTGACATCAGGTATCTTCCTCAATTGCTCTGTGGTGGTTTGAAAGAAAATGGCCCCCAAAGAGAGTGGCACTATTAGGAGATATGACCTTGTTGGAGAAAGTGTGTCACTGTGGGAGTGGGCTTTGAGGTCTCTTTTCTCAAGCTTCACTCAGTTGACTTCCTGTTGCCTTCAGCTCCAGCACCACGGCTGCCTGCACACCCCTATGCTCCCCATCATGATCATAATGAGCAAACCTCTGAACTGTAATTGAACATTTTCCTTCTAAGAGTTGCTGTGCCGCTCCTAGCTCTGCCACTAACTCTGGAGGGGGACAGTAATGAAAGAGATATCTAGATAGAGGGGGCATTTTAGGGCCAGGGAGAAACCTCATGCCAGGGAAACTCCCAGGAATCCACACGAATGACTCCAGCTAAGACTCCTAGCAATAGTGGAGAGTGTGCCTTCTCTTGTAATCAGGTTGGTGACTGCCCTAATTGTCATTAGAGAGCCTTCATCCAGTAACTGATGGAAGCAGAGCAGAGATCCACAGCCAAGCACTGGGCTGATCACTAAAGTCCAGTTGAAGGGAGAGAGGAGGGATTGTATGAGCAAGGGGAGTCAAGATCATGATGGGGGAACTCACAGATACAGCTGACCTCAGCTAGTGGGAGCTCAAGGACTCTGGACCAACAGCTGGGGAGCCTGCATGGGACTGATCTAGGCCCTCTGCATGTGGGTAACAGTTGTGTAGCTTGATCTGTTTGTGGGGCCCTTAGCAGTGAGATCAGGACCTGTCCTTGGAGCATAAGCTGGCATTTTGGAACCTATTCCCTATGCTGGCTGGGTTGCCTGACCAGCCTTGATGCAGGGAAAGAAGCTTGGTCCTGTCTCAACTTGATATGCTATGCTTTGTTGACTGCCATGGGAGGCCTGCTCCTTTCTGAATGATGGAGGAGTAGATTTAGGGGTGGGGAGTAAATGGGAGGTGGGGGGATGGGAAGAGTGGAGGAAAGGAAACTCTGACTGGTATGTAAAATAAATTAAAATAATTAGTAAAAAAAGAAAGTGCAATTTAAAAGAGTTGCTGTGGTCATGGTGTCTCTTCACAGCAATAGCAACCCTAAGACAGACATGCTCTATACCACCCACACTCTTAAAGATCCACTTATATGCATAACTGTTTGCCTGTAGTTATTTGTGAACATCATGTGTATGACTAGTGACTGCATTTGTGAGCCAACAAGTGGGTGCTAGAAACAAAACCCAGGTCCCCTGCAAAAACAGTGAGCACTCTTAGCTGCAGAGCTATCTCTCCAGCCCCTGGAGCTCACTGAAAGGTTAGACTATAGACCCAAGATCCTCCTGTCTCTGCCCTCCCAGAACTGGGATTACAGGTTCATGCTGTAGAGGGTGCTGGGAATATGAACTTGGGACCCCATGCTTGCACAGCAAGTACTTCTGGCCAAGACAGCCCCATGTCTGAGGCTCAGTGTCACTTGAATTTATTGTTGCTTTAGCACTAAAACAACAAATAATAAAGCAGTACTTCAAGGGAGACACATTTTCTTCTGAACACTTGAGGTTTCTTTCCATTACAAAGATCATTATTTGTATGCAAAAGATTAACAAAGTGCTTTCCAATCCCAACTGGGGGTGGAGAAGAAGGAAAAAACTAAGTGAGTATTCAGGTTTAAGCAACATTTTATAAAGGGACAGCTGGCTGAAGCTGTGTTGTTTGGTGGTCACATTAGCCACATGTGGCTATGTGGCTACTAAGCAACTGAAATAAGGACAGTTAGCTGTGTAGGCTTAACATTTTCACACAGTGTTTATGGAAGATTTGTGTAAGACTTAGTACAATTAACACACAAAACATCTCACTGATAATTTCTTATACTAATTACATGTTGCATTCTTTGTGTGTGTGTGTGTGTGTGTGTGTGTGTTACACACACGTGTGTGCATGTACAGTCCAGAGGTCAACATTAGATGTCTTCCTCTGTTTCTCTCTACCTTATGTCTTGAGACAGAATTTCACACTGAACCTGGACCTCAGTGATTTGGCAAGATTAGATAGCCAGTGAACCCTGGAATCCTCAGGTCTCTATTCTCAGAGCCGGGGTTACAGGCATACCCTGCCATGCTCACCTGGCTTTTTACATGGGTGCTAGAAATCTGAACTTAGCCCTCATTCTTGCATGTCAAATCCTTTACTGACTGAGCCAGTTCCCCAGCCCTTGGATTCTTTTTAATGTGGCTAGTGGAAAACATAAAACTCCATATGTAACTCGCTTTTTGTTTCAGACAGTGCTGTTCAAGCAGAAATGATGCCTTAAAATTGTCTCCAGGTAAGTTGTCCTGAGATAAGGAACTGGGTGCTCATTATCCTGTAGCTTCAGTCCTTGGTTGAAGAGCACTGTGTTATTAGGGTTTCTATAGCTGTGACAGAATACTATGACCAAAAGCAACGTAGGGAGGAAAGGGTTTATTTCTTCTTCTTTCATTTTTTTTTTTTTTTTAGGAATCTCTCTTTTTAAGATTTATTATATATACAATGTTCTGTTTGTATGTATGCTTGCAGGCCAGAAGAGGGCACCAGATCTCATTACAGATAGCTGTGAGCCACCAAGTGGTTGCTGGGAATTGAACTCATGACCTTTGGAAGAGCAGCCAGTGCTCTTAATCACTGAGCCA